GGATGCACCATGACCGCAGGGCACATTGTACTTCTCGGAGACGCCGTTCATGAGACGAGACACATCGCCAATTCATCTTTTATTGGTGTCGCCAAACTAGTTCCAAAAACGGCAATCGAAAACGTCCAATGTGCAAAATCACTGGACGGTAATTTCAGGAAGGAGCGCACGAACTTTCTAAGATCACTCAGTCAGCAAAGCGTTAGATTTACAATCCAGAGAAAGTTGGTAGCCTGTAACCGTTAAGATGACGGACGCTAATCTGATTTGTAACCATTTTTCTTTTATGGCCTACAGTTTCCTGTTTACGTATTAGTACTGAGCAGATGTACCATCGAAAAACTGAAATACCCTCATATTTCATTCTCAAAAGAGAGATTCTGGAAGGCGTCGCTTTAAGCTAAAGCTGACAATGCTGTATGTTCCAAGTGAAGCTATAAAATGGTGTTTGCTTGCGAGTATTACACCTTTTTACATCTCCGCAGCCGATATCATTCTTCCGAATGGTTGATCTGCGATTTTGAAACAATAAGAACGACACAGAGACTTGTCTCAAGACTCCACCTTCCATGCAACTAACTACTTAGCCCAACGTATTGTTGAGTCCGTACTCACGTATGATATGCAAATGGGGAATAACTCAATTCAACTTCATCACGACAGCCTTACAGGCAGTCAGTGCCTGTCACACCGGGCGTCCATCAGATCCAGATTTGTTAATGTCGCCTCCCGGATGGAGGGAGCTCCATATAAGGTCGTTCATCCGACCTTCGGCACGCATTCTCAAAAACTCCAAAGCAATGAAGAAGCATTACTGAACGACGTTCAGTGTAACAACTTTTCTTAGTGCTTTTATCACTATGCCATGCTCTTCGCTAATCCTATTACGTTATCTTTTTTATATCAAAGCTTTTGTTTGCATTACGCTGAAAAATATTTCCTCTGTGTGACAGCATTCAAACAAGAAACAATTCAACATCAAATCAACGAGTATCAACCACTCCGTGGATAAAAACGTCAACCTATAGGTTGTATATGTAGTACAAGTGGTATAATATACATCTGACCGACAAGCTTGCAAAAATAAACATGGCAACGCTGACCGATGCTGTTATCACAGATATCAGCGCTGCCCAAGAAGCTGCATGGAACAGTTTCATATCATGAACGTGCACAAAAAGGCCGACATACCAACGGGAAAATTTTCTTCATTCTCACTTGACTAAAATATCTGTATGTTTCATAATGCTTGTTTTTCTGTTATTGTTTTGTCATTGTCATCTGAGGTTAGCACAGCTTAAGCAACAGAGTATCACAGATTTATGACGTCTGATCGTTATAAATGGTATTTCCAGCGCTTAGCTCTGTATCGTCGACATACATACAAATATACTACGGATTCTCAGGAGACTTTACCCAAAAAACCTAAACGTTAAACACGACACTTTAACGCAACAACTGTACCTTTCCCAAGACATGTTCTTTGGCACTCGCTGAACGAAACGAAATTGTTGAAATTACCGCCGAATGACGTGTACTGAAACGACTCGCAACGCTGACTTGCTTTGTCGAAATAATAGCGGGTAACGAGAGGAACGTTCTGCACTTCGATTCCCTTCTCCTTGGGTTGAGCACAAATCAGTTCTAAATTTCGACTATTTAATTCACCTGTAAGATGTTTTTTCCTTGCACGTGCCTGCTTTAGGACAGCAGAAAAAATTGATGCCGACTCTGGTGCAAACGTAGTTTGGATCGGCGCATGTGCCATCGCATATCACAGGCCCGTTTGGCCCAAGTTGCGGATTGCCAATTGGACATGCTAAACAGACACATTTAGGGCAGTATAGGAAAAAACAGAGAACAAACTTGATTGATCAGAAACGATGGTTTTCTGCCTTGAGAATCAACTGGCAAACGGGTGTAGTACTGTATTTTACTATTTGCATATGCTGCTTTGGCCTTGTTTTTCAGCATAAGGAACAAAAAAGAAAAACAAAAACGAAATGTATAAGTACGTGTTAAGTGCTAGTTAAATTGAATTGCTTTTTTTCTGTCTATAAAGTTCCTCGGGATGTAAGGCAGGAATAATTGAATTCCTTCTGACACTAATGTTAATAATTTTTTGATCTTTTACTGGTGCATACAAAACAGCAGAGCCGAATAAAGATAATGGTAGCTCTTAGAGAAAATGCGGCGACTCACGCGTAGGCAAATTTTCATGACGTCTTGTACAAGCTCTTTGATGAGAACTTCAAGTTCGCAGCAGCTATGACGTGTTACTAACTTAAGGGCCTGGCGCATAACGCGAAGAATAGTATTGAAAAGCCCAAAAAAGAAGGTAGGTGAGACATACGCAAAAATGGAAAAATTCACGATTAAATGACAAGTTGCAGACTGGATTTTGATGCCCCTCCTTGCCTCAGACATTAGTTAGTATACTCTCTTCCGCGTTTTAGCAGCAATCATTTTAACATATTATGACCAAAACAAATCTTATTATAGAACGACCCCAACATATTTCGTAGACTTTATACCTTCTACTTCAGCATCAACAATTTGGAAGGAATGTTGCATGGATATGAAAGCTGAAGATTTGTGTTGTTGTTGTTTATACGGTACATCTCCTGACATTTTTTGGACGAAGTCGCAGTCAGATATCGAAAGAACTTCTAATGAAGCTGGACAGGTTATTTTGGTGAGTAAGAAATGAGGAGATAATATTTATTGTGGTAATTGTTATGTCTTCTGCATATCTGATC